ATGATACGAGCAGCATTGATAAATCCTGTACCGACTGCATACAAAAATTCCTTTCACAACCTGCAAAGTCGAGCCCATGGTTGGAAACTTGGGAAATCATAGCAACGCATACGTTTACATTATTGTGATCCGTTCGTTAACAGGTTTGTCAGAAATGTATTTCACTGTATCACTCAGTACAAACGTTGCCTCTGGAGCCTTCGGGAAGGCGTTCGGTAGATAAAGTGTTCCCCCACTATCGTGACCGACTGATTAATTTTTTGGGGTCGACGTCACGTTCCAACCCCCCCCCCCCCANCCCAACATCCATAATCCCGTGTAGCAGCCGAAAATTCGTGTGTACTCCGAAGGGTGCTATTGCTTCTGTGAATCCCATTGCTTTTGGTGAACTGGAAAGAGGCATCAACAACTTTCTGATGTAGTACTGCAATGCCATACATTTAGAGATTGGTCACTTTGCACCAAAACTGTTTAAACTTGCAGACAAGTAAACTAAAGAGAGTGTGATCTGCCTAGTACTGTTGCCAGTTCTGATTGTACTAATCCTGTTACTTTGGAGTCTATTTTAGATAAATTACACTACATTACTGGCAATCAAGATAACCCGGTTTGTCATTAAGATCGGAATTTTACGCAACGAGGACCACTACAACGAAGACAAACTGGAGCTTCATTCAACCTGCGGCGGATGTGGTGATTGTGTAGATTGATTACTTACTCCTTTTTAGTATGGCATCCGATATCCCAGTGCAATGACATCGGCTTATAAAAATCTTCATTTCTTGTCTCGTGCTGCATATTAATTTCTTTTCGAGTCGTACGTTTGGGTTGAATCACTAGTACAGGGAATCCCATTAAAACGAATTACTAGTGCAAACGCAAGTCACTGCACAAGTCACAAGACAAATAACTCACCGAAATGCCAGTGTAATTGGCAACAAGGTTGGGAAATGCGGTCGTTTGACTCCAGTTCACCGCAGTCATTCAAATACCACTTACTGTAGCATTAATATATTTCAAAGTTCAAAAGAAACCCATTGTAATATTAGAACACAAGTCCGAAGGCTTGTGATCTAATGGATATGTTTCCTTATTATCTGAATTCCTTAGTCGTTAGCAGTTTAAATTAAGTGTGAGTTTTTCTATGGAATACGTTCAAACAGTCCACACAAATCAACCTATGGAGATGAATTCGTGTGCTGACTCCACATAGACTATGAACTCATTAGTTTTATTGAATTCAATATCCTTGCCCATTCTCGTTTATTACAATTCGATTTCGGTGTTGTGTGCTGCATTGTGATTTCATTCCGGGCTCCATTATTGGGTTGGACTGTCACTGCGCGGATCTCGATACGTACACGAGTTACTAGTCCAAGTGCTGTCTATAACAATTCGATCACTCCATGCCTCACAATCCCAGAACGGTATCGCTAATATATCTTGACCCGATTCATTTGAAATAGCAAAACAAATCAATGTAAATGAGATCCGAATGTGGGACAGTTTTGCAAGAGAATCAACAATCTTGATATCCTTATAAAAACAGCATTAAACTTCGTACTTCTGAGAGCAATGTGGTAGCAGTTTCTCAATTTTAAATTGTGCGCGGTTGAAAACACTGTCATGTTATCAACGAAATTATATCTCACTCTAAGAAGTAATGAAATTGCCACAAAATAGTACGATATATTTGCTCGTTTGTGCTACACAGTTGAATTTTCTGATAATGTTCCTCCTCAGAATCCCAATGCGTGTATTTTCTTTTCTTGGGGTGCAAAATTGTATCAATACCATTTATATCTTTTCAACTGATTGGATAAATGCAACCTCATTTTGTCTGACCGTGAATATTTGAGATCAATGACCATAATAGGATTACTGTGTCCAGATGCCCAAACAAGGGTCTGAAAACAATTGGTCGTGTGTCCAGATCATAGGTGAGTAATGGAACAACGGACTTGATTATGTGGTGGTTTTTTAATGCGGATGGGTGGGTGGTCGTTAAGTTGTGTGGGTGGGTTGGTTGGACCAACTGATGCGAAGTGACTTTGGAGACAGGTGAATATCAGTTATTCTTAGTCGGTCGGAGACGGAAGGATAAAAGTGAATAAATATTGATTTGCAATCAGTAAGAAGTTTGAACGGATATATAGGGGTAACCGAAGAAGATAAAGTATTTGCTTGGCGAAAAATTTCTCCTTAAGGTTACTGGCAGCTCTTGTTGTGTTTTCTATGGGAGCCCATCATTGGGTGACTGGAAAACATTGTTCTTTGGATTGAATTCATCTCAAACTCAAACCAAGTGGACGAGTTCGGGATACGAATAAACGTTTGGTAATACAGCAACTTGTGAAAGATTGAAAAGGAAAGAGTTGCTTATTTGTTTTGGGGGCATACCGCGATTGTTTCACAGACCCTCGCATTACTATTCAGCAAGGAAACTGTTTGTGTGAACTCGTCTGAGCAGTGCACACATGTAATAATGACTAGATTGGGGATTTTTTGCTCTGAAACAGAACGTGACTGCGGGTGAGTAGGAATGATCAGATAAAACAATCAAGTTGGAACAAAAAACGAGAATTTGTGAATGGGTAGAGGGTGGAGAGAGTACAAAGATCGGATGGATGATCAGAGAAAAGATGTCTCATTTCGAAGTGTGAAATGAAGTGGAAAGTGTGAAGAGAAGAAATAAGTAGCCTACAATTTTTCATCAACTGTTTGCTCAGTACCCTTGATGATACGGATCCGTGGATGCCTGTCCCGCTTCGGTTCCATTGGATCCCTGGTTGTAGCCGTAACTTTGTCCGTATAACCTGTTCGTTGTTGATCCTTGTCCCTTTATCTCCTCGCCCTGATTATAACCATACCCGCCAGGAATGTTTGCGCCCGTTTGGTCATACACTGAATGAGCGTTCGCACCGGATTTCTGCATCCCCGAAGCCGGGGCACGGTCATCACCATCGAAGTAACCGTAGTCCGCGTGCGTCATTTCGGGTGGGAGATCCGTAGGAGGTTGCCAGTTGGACATCGCTTCCTCCGGGGCCACTGCCCATGGCTGCTTCTCACCAGAAGCGAAAATTCCATAAAATATTACTCCGGCGAAGTGGACAATACTGGCTATCAGGAACACAATTGCCCAACCTTCTTTGCGCTGTAATTAAACAAGTTGGACAGCAGTTCGTATAATTAAGTAGCTATCGGCCAGGTTTGGCACAGGAAGTCACTTTTACTCAGTGAGTGAATAAAGATTAGAAAACATGAATTCTTCAATCATTTATCAAGCACAGAACAGCATCGGATTTTCCAATTTGATCACCTAGTGAGTATTACTCATTCGGAAGAGCTTCCGAAATCAATCCCAATAAGAAAACTTATAATAAAAGTGCTCAGTGCAAAACACAACATGAAACATTGTTTCTAGGTGGTTAGAGGATATTTCGGTCAAAGCGAAAGAGAACGTTTTATATCAAATAGATCTCCACCGGTAGGCATTCTACGTTTGCAAGAAGTCATTTATGTTTGCGTTACATTGCGGTAACTTTATGCCCATCCAGTCTCATGCATATTTTGTCAACTGATGTTTCACTTGACAGTGCACTGCCTCCATTCATATTCTAACCTTAAATTACTTTTAATTTTTACGTTCTAATCCTGTGGAGATTTCATTGTTCGCTCCGCTAGCCTACCGAAATGATACATTCTTTTTAATTTTCTCAACAAATGCCAATCCAAGTTTTGCGCTTGTTGTGATGGAGCAAAAAAAGCATTTCTGCTCCACATGCTTGAATGATATAGAAATTTGCTTTCATTTCTTATAGTCTTTATGAGCAACCTTGAAATGAAACGATGGATTCTACTAATCAGTGACAGTTAAAAAAAAACATCTTCACTTTCTTAAATTTACACTTACTTCGCCTTTTGTCAGTAGTTCTGTTGTTAGCGGACAAACCATTCCGGAAATCGTCCCCACTCCATTGGACAAACCCATCAATATACTTGCATAGCGCGGTGCGATATCCAGGTGATTCACATTGTAGCCTTAAAAATGTTAATTAACCAATACAGAGGTGCAGTGACAAACGATATGTGACATATTGGACATAAGCAACAAAATGGTAATGGTTATTATCCACAGTCAAGAAAGTTGGATGGAAATTGTATGAATCTGTCACTCTTTTATGTGATGAACAGTGGAGTTCTGACCAAAGTCAATGATTGCAAAAAGTAACCGAGAAATTCTGGTAAATCATCACTTTCTATTTCTTTCTCACTTTGTGTACTCATGAGTAGTGTAAAAATACATGAAATAACTAGTCATCACTAAATGTTTTTATAATGTAATAAAAATAAATGAATCCTCGTGTATGATTGATCCAAAAGAATGGAAATGAATGAAATTCACATTTTCAATTTCGAAATCTTCCCCTAATCGTATTTAGAACAAAAATCGAGACAAAACATCGTTGTCAATAATTGTTGATCACTTTCACTTTATGGGAGGCTTTTGTTCAAATCTGGGTCCAACGCAAACCAATCATCTCCCTTGGGTTCTGATTCCCTTCCCTCCCCTTGCACACAGGCACACACATATACACACAATAACACCGATCCCTCAGAACTGGGTCGCATGATCAGCGTAACATAACTGAAAATCCCGTAGGCGCAGAACTGAGAATATGGGAGAATAGTAGACATTCATTGGGAAGGAGATTAATTTTATTCAACGATCAGGAAAATATTCACACGACTGCATTTTGTTCACCAACCCATTGTGGTCATTTACCTCTTTGCTGATGTGTGTTTTTCAAGTGTGATATCAAACAGTCTGAAGCGATGCAGTCAGCTCCACCATTTCCAGGATAGACTTTAACAATAAAAATCAATATTCTAAGACTATTAGGAGAAAACGAAACTAAAATTACTGATTGTATTTGATTATTTGTTTTCGGTAAGTAAGTTGGAAGGATAATGATTACCCACCATGCCTTTGGACCTAAAAAGGGAATCCAGTTAGATATTGATATCAATCAGCCTTGAATTATGAAAACAGAGAAAGCCTGAATTTTGTACTAGTAATAATGGATAATTTGAGATTATTCGACTAAATTTTAACATTTATTTGATCTCCAGCATCTCATTAAAATCTGGCAACATCATTCTCCACTTTAGGCGAGGCTGGTTGAGTTGGCCAACCACTGGAACCCCAAACAAACTGAGACATTTTTATCCTACTGTTTTTTCTACTGTCACGTTAGTTGGGTTGAAATTCACGGTACAGTAGGACATCCACTTTGCTCCGCACTCTTAGGATTAGAATCATTTCTTTGCAACGTTGACAATATCAGTTTTCACGGAGGTGATGTAATAGAAAAGTGAATACAATACCCAGGTGAAAGTCGCATACGTCAGTGTGTTCAGATAGGCCGATCGAACCACTCCCAACAAATCGGTGTCTGTATACTTTCGTTATGAGTAGCACGAAATCGTCTTTCTGTTCATGAGTTGTATGCTGATTTGGAGGTTCTACTGTGAGGGAGTAGCGGTTTTGGATAGGATACTAATTTCGACTGAGTACAAAACAACATCTGTCATCTTTCTGCTCAAGGGGGTTGGTACATGTGCACTGAATGGAACCGGGGTGTTTGAAAATCAGATTTGTGGCTACCAAACCTAGTTGTCAGTTGGCTTATTCCCCATTGCGATATGGCAACCCAACTATGGAAGGTAGCCTGATCCTAATCGATAAGAGTTGTGATTTACTGTTGATTATGTTGGCTCGATCCAACCGAATAATTTCGCAAACTCAGTGGATCTACGGAAGGTTTCATTCTCTGATGGATCCGTGAAGTTTTGCACTCAAAAAGATATGCACTTGCTAATAAAAACGAATTAAAGCAATCATAAGCTGCACACACATTCGTGAATACATGCATGCATATATACATACATTCGTGCCTACATGCATACATACATAGATACATACATGTAAATTATGATGATAATAATAGTACTTACATACAGCATGAAATTCCGTCAAACGCAACTTTCTCCACAACCCTCGGGGCGAAAATAAAACCATTGAATACAAGCTATATGTTCAAAACTGACCGATGTCTATTTATGTAATCAATTCATTTCGCTCATTCGCTTGCTGGCTCAGTCATCTTAAGGGGGCCCTAGTTTATTTCACATTCATTTCATCGTTGAGTATTAAACCATGGGGGAGGGGGTAACACGCGTACCGGAAATCGCAAACCCACTGAATCCGACGGCCAAAACGAGGCAAACCAGAGCGGATGTGATGTGTGTGGAGTAGCCAACGCCAAGAAGAAACACTGCCTCCATACCGAATCCTATGGTTAGAAAAAAAACGAAAATTTAAAAGACCGACTAGTTTACAAAATGGCACTTTCTATTTGGGAAATCGTTTATGGATTTGAGTCAATTTTGTCCGTGGTTAGTACAATCAGTGGTGATGTCAAAAATACGTATGTTAGTTTTTGAACACAAAATTTAAGATTAAAGAGTGGAAAACTCACCTCCGCAATTGAATATCTTTCTCACCGCAGTAGTGGATAGAGTATTCTTGCGCAATCGATCCGCGAGTTGACCACCAAGAGGAACAATGATGGCCATCACGAGGTGAGGCAAAGCGGCCAGAAAACCAGTCTGTGTTAAATGGGAGAGACAGAGTCATAGGATAAAGGCTTTGATGACGTGTGTGTGCGCGTGCGCTAACCTGCCTAAGGAATTGTCACAAAACATTCAACAGAATGAACTAGTAATGTGATGCACGATGATACACAATGATAGTTTTAGAGCACATACCACAGCAGTTTTTTGATCACAAAACCGCTCTGTCCAACTTCACATTGGAATTGAGATTAACGAAAGAATGGTGAAACATATTTTTACTTCTGTATTGCGAATAAATTGTTTCAATTTTCAGTTGGTGATGGCTTTAAAAAATTTGTATGAACGATTGCATTTTGACACCGCATAAATTAGTTAAAGCAAAGTCGACAGTTGATGCATTCATACAGTTGCCTAAAATATTTTCATTTTAAATTATTGCATTGAGGTAACTGTACTCATTAAACTAGTCTGTGATAGGCTTTATTGAGTAGACAGACAGACAGACAGACAGACAGACAGACAGACAGACAGACAGACAGACAGACAGACAGACAGACAGACAGACAGACAGACAGACA